CTTTTCCCGCAGGCTGTGTACAAGCTGGCGGATGTGGCCTGCAAGTGCCACGGTGTGTCGGGCTCCTGCAGCCTCAAGACCTGCTGGCTGCAGCTGGCTGACTTCCGCAAGGTGGGCGACCTGCTGAAGGAGAAGTACGCCAGTGCCGCTGCCATGAGGATCAGCCGCAAGGGCAAGCTGGAGCTGGTGAACAACCGTTTCAACATGCCGACGCAAGAGGACCTGGTCTACGTCGACCCCAGTCCGGACTATTGCCTGCGCAACGAGACCACTGGCTCGCTGGGCACCCAGGGTCGACTGTGCAACAAGACCTCAGAGGGCATGGATGGGTGCGAGCTGATGTGCTGCGGACGGGGTTATGACCAGTTCAAGAGCGTCCAGGTGGAGCGTTGCCACTGCAAGTTCCATTGGTGCTGTTATGTCAAGTGTAAAAAGTGCACAGAGATCGTCGACCAGTACGTCTGTAAATGAAGAGAGCCACCAAAGCAACAAATCTATATTATATAAATCTATATAAATATATTTTATATTTGTATAAATAAACAGATGATGATAATAATTAAAGAAGCTTATTTAAGAGACATTTTGGTTTTGAAATTTCCCCCATCAGGCCGGCTGGTTTGCCATTCTTTCAGTTCTGCTGGGGAGTTTGCCTTTGGGTGCATCCCTCCTTGAGTGTTCCAGCCAGGGTGAAGAGGCAGAGGAGATGCTGACAAAGTGAGCTCCCCCCTGCGCACAGGCAGACGCTATTTCATTACAGAAACAAAGCCAGCAAGAAGAAGAGTGGTTTCCTTCTGCTCTCTCATTGGCAAATCTCAGCATTTTGCATAGTTATTGCACATCTGAAATTACAGCCAGACGTGGGTGAGTCCTAGTTGTCTGAGTTTCAAACCCTGTCACACCACTAAACCCACTGGGGAATTTGGAACCAATTCTTGGTCCCTTTAAAGGGCTTTGTCACATTAGAGGGAAGGTTAGTCAGGGCTCCTCTACAAGAATGTCACTTAAAATCCAGAGTCCCATAAACCATTCCTGGATGCTGCACAGACCACAATGTGGTGGAGGAAGGTTTACAACCTGCTGTTGTGATGAAGGAAGCTGTGACCTCTGGCTGACCAGTGCACAGCCTGGGGTCCCCGTGAAGCAAGCACCTAGCTCTTGTGTACCGCCTGGGCAAAGGGGAATCTGTCCAGCTCAGACTACATGGCTATGGGCATGAGGGAGACTTTTTTTTTTTTTTTTTTTTTAATCCCATGCTGAAACTTAATTTGTCAATATAGAGGAGAAGCTGCCGGTGCTGAGGGACATTTGCAAAGGCAATATACTTCCTATTTTGTCAGTAGAAATAAGTATTGCATGCACACACATGCATACAACTGCATAAGCACTCCTCATACTGCTGCTGGTTTTCCTCTTTGAAGTGGATGCAGGTGGTCACCTTGTTCAGCTCTATTAAATCCTCCTCACCACCATCCCAGATGTATAGTTTGTCTATAATATTAAACACCCCTCAATGACATTTCTCTCCCTCTGTTGCTTGTATATATGTGTGTTTTTGTTTTATTCTTTTGGTGGGGTCTCTTACATTTTGCTGCTCTGTATTTCAGAGTCCAGGGGCCATGAGCTAACCACAGATACGTTTGCTCCCAGAATGTGGGTGTATGTTCACTGATGGAAGTCTTTTCTGTGTTTTTCCTTGGTAATAAAGGAGTATAATAAAATTGTACTAGGGCAGAAGGTATTACCAAAGTCTGCTAATCAGTCTTACCACGTTGGGATTTTAGTAGAATCCAATTCATAAAGCAGGGAACAAATGCTGTTTCTAGCATAAGACATTTCCTGTGCCTCTCAGCATCTGCAGAGTTCATTTGCAGTCAGAACAATCAAGAGAAGCCAGTCCCCAAAATAAAAGGGTTTGCTAATATACATTCCCTTTGTTACTTACATCCAAGGGTGTTGTTCAGGGTTTTTTTTCTGTAAATTTCAAAATGAGCAAAATATGCCAATAAGCAAAGAGCCAGTTGTGAAGATTATTTTTATATTAAACCGCTGTTTCTTATAAAGCATTGCAGTTTGACAGATTCCACCATTTCAACCACCAGAGAAGAATTTATATGTACCTTTCATACTTCAAATATTTGAGGAGTCCAGAAAAGCACAAGGAAGAAAAATTATGTTTAATAATTAGGAGCTGTTGTTTTTTTAAACCAATGTGTCCAGTTTTGGGGTTTTTTTTTTTAATCCAACAGGCAATATATTTGCTGGCATCCCAGAATGCAGTTTCTTGGAATATAAACAGTGGCCTAGATTTATTTTATTATAAAAAATCCAAAGCCAGTGGTATTGTAATTCAAAGTAACGGAAATAGTTTTCCATGCATGGAAAAAATGTGAGTGCAATCGCCTGATCCAACTCCCATTAAACTTCAGTGGGAGCTGGACTGAGCCCAAGATCGGATCAAATGTGTGAGCTATTCACTCTTGGGATACTATGTGTTTCTAGCCCTGTAATAAAACTTGCTCTACCTTGGATACATCTAAAAAAGACCTTTCCTCCCACCACTTTCACCTCATGTTCTTGTCCATCCTCATTGCGTCAGTACTTAAAGGTGTCAGCTATTTGTATATGACACCCTCAGGCATTGTTAATGTGTCTAATAATTCAAAGTTATTTCATTTGGCTTTTCTGATAAAGACCACACATTTAAGGGAGTGGCAGCTCTCCTTGCAGTTTGGTACCACAATTAATTTTGTGGGTGTAAACAACTTTGGGAGCGGAAAAGTTGGCATTGTTAGGGCTACTATTCATCTGGCTGTCCCTGGGTATGTCCTTCTTTTTCCACCTAAAATGTTGTCTGGATGGAAAAAAGATGATTTTTGGCCTTTTGTCCCAGTACTCTGGACCTCTGGCAGCCTGGTTGGAGCCCGCAGTTCCTATTGCACTGGGACCATATAGTGATAGGAGAGAAGTAATCATTGGATTTCTTTCCTTTCCCCCTGTACCTCCTTCTTCTTCTTTTTTTTTTTTTTTTTTTTTTTAACAAGACCTAGGTTGCAGTCTTCTCGACTTTCTGGGAGTTTTGTATCCAAAAATTTGATCCTGCTAAACTCGAGCTTAAAACTTAATTTCTATGGCGCCCACACATAAAAGAACCTCCTTAGGGTGGTAGTAAGTATAAAATAAAAGCACAGCCGGTTTGGTTTGATGCAAAGCCAAAGAAAGTCAAACAGAAAGCTGAACTGCTGCTTTACCATGAAAGTTAAAAAGTAGTGTATTTTAACTTGTGCCTTGTTAGATGCACAAAGCAGTAGAAGGATGGAAGGGTGGGGAGCTGAACTTGATTTTGAGCTCTGCCGATTATCTGCTTTGTAATCTTCAAGAAGTTACTTAATTTCTTTGCATTTTAGCCTCCAGCCTCCTGTATGAAATGAGGAGCAGAATGCCTCCTTTTTCTTTCAAGCTCTTTGAGAAATATGGCTGAAAAAACCCGTAATTGAAGGCCTACCCTCTACGCTCATTAACTCCGGCAGGCAGACAGCTGTATCCCCATTGTGCGGGGACATGCTCAATTCGGGACAAAGAGGCTCAGCAGCACCTCGGAGGCTCAGATGCTCAGAGGTGGTTGCTGGGGGGCTCAGCAGGAGCCTCGGAGGGTCTGTTGCAGTGAAACCCTGCTCCGGCACAACACTGGAGTAAAGACTGTTCTACAAAAGCGAGGTGAACTCAGGGCTTGTTTATTTATGGGTACTGAATATCTTGTAGCAAGAGGAAGTTAGCCTGGTTTCTGAATCAAATACCTGCCTGCTCAAATTCTGTTTGCAGTTCATATGGATAAGATATTCACACAATACGCTATTATATAGTGTGTGCTGGTAACCGGCTGCGACATTCCAACCCTGAAGTCACTGCACTTCGAGGCTGATAGAAATGACCACCCGTAAGTCACGTAAAACTAAAATATTTTGGAGTTAAAGGTGCTATGCAAATACACGCTTATTGCAAGTCAGTGAACATCAGCTCCTAAACAGAGCAGAACAGGATGCAAATCTGTCATCATTTTCCAACTGGCTAGTAATACATAAGTTATAACGTGAATGAATGAGGCCTTAGTATGTTCCGCTGCAAGGTAAGCTAAGCAATAGCAGATCGCAGAACAAACAAAAACTTTCATTTGATACTAATTATGGTGAAAAGACTGGACTCTAGGCCACTTGCATTGTTCAGAGGCTCCCATTCTTTGTCTCCAAGAAGTCTGTGCCTACCCAGAGCTCAGTGTAACAGAGGGATTGCTGGCTTTTGCAATTCAGGAAACAGCCAAGTTGAACCCAGACACGCAGCATGAGTCTAACTTACACTTTCCGTACGGACCCCAGTTTTGTAGCCCTGACTGTGCACAAATGAAGCAGATCGTGTTCAGTCATATAAAATCAAACATGCAAGGGTCTCTCTCTGCTTACTCGACCGCATCCAGGGAGAAGCCTAGTAGGTTTAAATTACGCTGTGGGAGCAATTCCTAATCATCTGTGGCTACAGAAATATAGACAGTATTTTCATCAGATGACACAGACACAGAACATCCCAAGGAGCCCTTGGGAAATACCTTCCAGCAACTAAAGGGCATTTCTCAAGTGTCTGTCACAAGGTTTTCCAGAACCTACTGCTTATATGGTCATTCACTTTCATTTAGCTTTTGTTTAACCACATTTCAAGTTAAATAGATTCTAGAAGATAATCTATGAAATCAAGTTCACTGAATGGCAGGCTCTGAAGGACCTGTCATATGACAGTGAGTAGATGTGAACATAATCTTGGATCCCCTTCTCCTCAAAGGTAGATTCTGGCTACATCTAATCCATGGGACCCAGAGCTGTGTCCCATCTCCCTGGTCTAGACGCATATCCTGGCCATGTCCTAACTCCCTGCCAGGGCAGTGTGGGCACCAATACCCCGTGTGCAAAGGCTGATGGATGCAGAACCGTCAAGCGGGCTCCAGCTCCAGTGTAGATAGCTGGTGGCCTTGGGACTAGGCCACGTTGTGAGCATACCAGCTCTCAAATCTAAATATAATCAGCCTCAAAGATCAGCAAAACAGATTTCTGTGGCCAACAGAACACATACCAGAAAGGACAAAAAGAATCATGATCAGTCATTGTAAATCCCAAAAGAACAATAATAAAAAAACCCAGTATGATGCAATGATCACAGCATGCTCATGCCTTCAACTCATTGTCAATCTGCAGGGCCTGAAGCTGTTACTATACCCTCTTTTTTCTTAGCTCTGTTTAAATAACAGTTTAAATCTATTTTTTTGCATTAGGATACAAAAAGGCGTGACTTACAGCATTTCCTCAAACAGGGAAAGGGGGAACAAACAGTCGGGTCAGAAGAGCTCCTCCTGCGAGTGTGGATAAAATGCAGCAGCCATAAAACAGACTACTAAATATTGCCCTGTGGCACTTAGGTTGGACACCTGCCCTAAGTGTCCCAGATACCTCTCCATGCTGCCTGCCCAAAGCAAGCTGCTTCTGATGGCCCCGTGGTACCGGCAACAGCTCTGTCTGTTTGGAAGGCTGCAGCAAGCACCAGGCTTCGGCAACGTCACAGAGCGTGCAGTGAGGGTC